AAAAGACGTAAAATTTGCCAATGTTGTCATTCATCAAATTTAGATTAATTTAATTTAGCAAAGGTCAACTTTTACCATAGCAGGTGGCTGTAATAAATAAGGGCCGATAATAAAAAATATTCAAAAAAGCTTTAAATTTTGATGTGTGTCAATTCTGACAGTCATATCAGTGAACGTATTCGTGTAGGTTTTGCGAAAATGTCCCCAAAAACTAACGGTCGTGGAAAAAGTATAGTATGCAACACATTCGGTAAACTCACTAGTTTGTTAAACACTCGCTCCTCTGCGCTCCGCTCGCGTCAAATATACTCGTGAATCAAATGCTGTTTACCACACAATTAATTAGCTATCATAATTTTGCAGTTTCTAAAGCCCACAAATTCAAGTCTGTGGTGGGAGTAGGACTAAAAAGGTGCTATCGCTATTATTACTGCTAATGATCATTTTCAACAATCAAAAAATGTCAAATTAAAAAAATCACAATTTAAAATCTAATAAAGTTAATTAATATCAATCAAATTTGTTCTCTTTTTAACGCTTTAGCAATTCAGGTAACTTACGGAAAGAACCTATTTATTTAAATTGCATGCTGGATGAAATTTGTAATTAAAAACGCAGTGCTTGTTTTACCATCCTTTATAAAATAGATTAGGCAAATTAAAAAACGTCTATAAATATATCACGAAGTTTTGTAAATATTTTCAGAGTGATCCGTTTATTATGGAATCCCACTTTATCAAAAAACATAACATTTTATTAAAATATTGCATTTCACTATTTACGAAGTGTTTGTATTTTCGCTAACAACTAGCAAGTAAAAGGTGATGGTACATCGGGATATTGGAAACTGTAAGAGATACAGCGTCTCTTAAATGGAAGAAAAGTAGAGTATATATATGCCAAAAAATAATCTAACTTTGTTTTATTTTAAATCGATACCCTTAAAGGGTGAAAAAGAAAATGTTCATTTTTGAAACAACAAAAACAACAAAAATAAGAATTTAAGATAGTAGGCTTTGATATCGTTGCGTTCAATTTTCATCAAGTTGGCCATGCCAACGTATTCCAGGTGAATGGTGTGAAGTTAATAAATTTTGAACGTTAATAAGAATAAGTTATATGTTGTTATGAGATATGTTTACGTATTTTATTCTCTGCTGTAGAAACGAAGCAAGAGCCGAAGATATTTCCTTGATGCTCTACTTCTGAGACAATGTTTATATAACAAGTACCTTTTATTTTAAACATGGAGTCATTACCTTAAGTTTTTCGCATTTGTTTTGCCTGTTTGTACACGCTACAGACGATTAAAATGAAATAAAATTGTTTAGCTGAATTCTGATTACTCAAATCCTATGTCTTCATTTCAAGACTCGCTGTGCCTGCATTTACGGCTCAATAAAACAACTCCTATGTGAAAATTTAGCGGCTGCGCACAATGGAATTATCATCACAAACTTTCAATGATTAAAACAGTAATGGCGTCACCGGTCACCCAATATCGTTTAAGATTTTATCGAATTCGATAATGATTTGTAACAGTATTTCGCGTAGTGGTTAACCCCTCAAAATTTACCTACATTTTTTTCTTATAACAATTAGGGAAGCTAATGACAGACAATTTTTAAACTTTTGAAAGTTGATTCGGATCTGACATTTGATTCTCTATAATTTAGATCTCCTAAATTTAAATCTGATAAGCATTTCCCTTTATGAGTTAAGGGATTTTGTCAACATTAAAAGAGTTAATAATTGAAAATCTCTGTTGATTTAAACATTTTTTTATTAGTACAAGAACAAAAACCGAATTTGAAAATCCAAATTAAATAACAAAGTCTCAAACAAAAGTTGAGTCCATTTATTTCTAGAAGATCCCTCCTTCTTGTATATTTAATCCATGGTCGGATTGTCCCTTTTTAATGACCAGCACTAATCTGCCATCATTGCAATGTTCCATAAACCTTGATATCGGCTATCTATTTCTTTTATATGTTGGTAGTCCAGATGTGAGTGTAAAAAGTGTAGTTTTATACTCATATTGCATCCCATTTCCCTAAATTTCTTTAACATGTTTTCTACAATGTTTTTGTAATATAGTTATTTGTTGTTTTCTACAAAACCTTTTATAACATCAGTAAATAAAGTCTTGATCTTCCACAAAAATTCCTTTCTTTAATTTTGTATCTGAGTGAGTGGGAAATTTTCCACTTAAGTATTTCAAACATATTCAGTCTTTAATTAAAGCTTTTTCGTTCTGCTTTGGCAGCACTAATTTAATATGCAAAGAAGGTACAGGAGTACTTCGTACAGCAGTTAGGACTGCTCACTTCGTAGAAATCCCACAATTTTTAAGTCACCACAAATCATCGAACCATAGTGTTTGTATTTGATTTTCTTAAGCAGTAGTATTGACGTAGCAATTTTTCATTTGCTCAGAATTAGCAACGGATACAGAATCAAGAACATCTTTGTCGTGCAAAAGAACAACCTTAAGGCTTATCTTGGGCGAGTCAATTAAAAAGCAAAGTTTCAAAATAGCCTATAAATTCAATCTCGCGCGATATATATTTATTTTTAGTTGAATGTAATACTTCAAATAAAAGGGATTGCTTAAGAAAAAGAATTTTAAAGAAATCCGAAGAATTCCAGTGGAATTCCCAACGAATTCCAGTGGAATTCCGTGGGATTCTAGTTGAATTCCGTAGAAATCACAGAAATTCTTCATAAAATTATACGGAGTAGTTAAAGATTTTTTTATTTGTGTATTGTGTTTAATGCTAACTACCGTAACTTTGTTCCTTATCCAGTTTAACATAATAATTAATGACTTTAAATACTTAAAACAGAACGGAATGCTTAAAAATAATTTCAAAGCAATTCCGAAGAATTTCAAATAGAATTCCCAAAGTGTTCCAATAGAATTTCGTGAAATGCCGTGGGAATCTAGTGAAATTCTATTGAAATTCGAAAAATTATATTGTAATTGTACTAACTCATTTTGTAGTAGCTGAATTCCGTGGAAATCTGAGAAATTCTTCATAAAATTATACGGAGTACTTAAAGATTTTTTGCTTTTTGTATTGTGTTTAATGCTAACTACAATAATTTTGTTCCTTATCCAGTTTAACATAATAATTAATGAGTTTAAACACTTAAAACAGAACGGAATGCTTAAAAATAATTTCAAAGCAATTCCGAATACTTTCAATGGAATTCCCAACGTGTTCCAGTAGAATTTCGTGGAATGCCGTGGGAATCTAGTGAAATTCTGTTGAAATCCGAAAAATTATTTTGTAATTGTACTAACTCATTTTGTAGTAGTTGAATTCCATGGAAATCTGAGAAATTCTTCATAAAATTATACGGAGTACTTAAAGATTTTTTTTCTTTGTGTAATGTGTATTTTCGATTAACTACAGGGTTTTTCTATTATAGACAAAAATCTAAATGACGGTGAAAATTGTTCTTTTTGCAATTAAATTATTAGCCGCAAACCAAAATTTGTCATTTGTATTTACTGTTTTCTTGTATCACACACGCTGCTCGAGATATTTGAAAAAAACCATGTGAAAATCGCGCTCAATTTAGACGTGATGACGTTTCAAATAAATATTATTCTCGAAAACCATTTGCTGTATTGAAAAACTTCATCTACCAGGATGTTATATGTTATATGATATATATATATATATATATATATATATATATATATATATATATATATATATATATATATATATATATATATATATATATATATATACATTTGTTCCTTATCCAGTTTAACATAGTAATTAATGAGTTTAAATACTTAAAACAGAACGGAATGCTTAAAAATAATTTGAAAGCAATTCCAAAGAGTTTCAATCTTGGTGGGAATCTAGTGAAATTCTGTTGAAATCCGAAAAATTAGTAATTGTACTAACTCATTTTGATTGATTTTGTTTGTTTATGTATTGTGTTTAATTCTAACTACCATATATCTGTTCCTTAATAGTTTAGTATAATAATTAATGGGTTTAAATACTTAAAGTAGAACGGGATATTTAAAAAAATATATTAAAAAAATTTCGAAAAATTCCAGTGGAATTCCGTGGAAATCCTAGAAATTATACGTAAAATTATACGGACTACCCTGTACAGCATTTCCTATTTATGCACTATTTTGTAATTGTACTAAATCATTTTGAATGGTAGATACGTAAGCAAACATTGATTTTGTTTGTTTATGTATTGTAATCGTAACTACTATATTTTTGTTCCTTATTAGTTTAATACAATATTTAATGCGTAAAACTTAAAATAGCCCGGAATGCTCAAAAAATGATTTTAAAGCAATTCCGAAAAATTCCAGCGGAATTTCCAACGAATTTCTGTCGAAATCCATGGAATTCCGTGCGATTTTAGTAAAATTCCTTGGAAATGGATTTAATTATTTATGCACTAGTTTGTAAGTGTAGGTACCTAAACAAACAATGATTTTGTTTATTTATTTATTGCGTTTAATGGTAACTCTCGTTGTTTGCGTTAGTTTAATATAATATTTAATTCCTTGAAATTCCAGTGGAATTACGTGGAATTATATTTAAAGGAAAAATTACGGTGTGCATCCTTAGCGTGGTTTATCCCTCAATTATTTATACTCAATTATTAAATCGCGAACAAAATCTGATAGCGTGAACGTCAAAATCGAAGCCATTGACAGTTGTCTTTTAAATAAGTATTGCCTAATGAAACATCAGATTAACATCTACAAACGCAGTTAAAGTTATTTTGAATATTCTTTCCGTTCTCTGCAAATAACAATTTTTTTTAAATCCTGTTTTGTTATTAGAATGAAAGTAAGGTCAAATTATTTGAACGTACCAGCTTTATATTTGGCTTTTACCATTTTAAATTCTTAGCCAGAACTTATCGATTATAGTTGCAATAAATTTCCAGTTAACTATATTCATTAGTTAATTAGTTAAGATAATTAATTTAACTCAAGCTATACATACCTACAAGAAAACTCTCCCACGGCGGAAAATAGTAGCTGTAAAGATCAATTAGTTGCCAAGTTCCGCGCCAGCAGGCTATTACCAAAGGAGAAACGATAAACGAAGATATGAATATATCCAAAGTGCTCAAAATCACTTTTTTCTTCTTCTTCGTCTGTCGCTCGTGTTTAAATGTACCTGAACGTTTCGCGCCGATTTTACTTGATTCGCAGTCCATCGTTTCAAATGGAATATTATTTTCAGTATTCATTCGAGCGGTCTCATTTCTTTAAACATGATAATGATATCAGATAATATCCGAGACACTTGTACACCGATGACATCGAGGCGACTGCGAATAAAAAAGTAGTATTCAGCTTTGATTGATCTAGTTATCTCCGTTGATGATACAGGGTGTTAAAAACATAAATTTCGAACTTGGAGTGCTATATTTCCAAGATTTGTAGAGAATACTATCTGCGATACTTTTAATTTATTACACTAATTCAAGTACCGGATGGTCAGTTTATTATACAGTAAAATAGAAAGTATACAGGGTGCGTCAAATTTCAAGCATAATTATAATATATATAATGATAATAATAGGAAAGCCAATATAGCGCGTCTAAATAAAACCCAGAGAATTTAAATTTTATTTTTTTTTCGGATATAGATATAAAATCAGAACTTAAGAAAAAGTTTGTAATTTATTTAAAGGAAAATATCCTGAAAAACCCAAGGCTAGATTAAATTTTTGATTTTTGATAAATGAATTAGTTCCATATTTGTCAGTTTTGAAATCCGTGTCAAAAGCAGCGTCAAGGTCATTTTTTTTGAATTTAGCCGATAATTAAATCGTATCAAAATGCTCCAACGATTGGGTAAAAAGGAGCAAGGCCCTTCTTTTAAAACTTGTGGATTCCTTCACTCCAGAAAAAATTCCCTTAAACGCTGTACATAATGTAAGTATTTACTGTCTCCATACTGGAAACAATATCATTTTTATTGTTTGTTATTTTTTGTAGTTTATTATTGTAGCGTGTTGCCGATGTATTAGATATTTCTCTGAGACCGATGCATAAGCTTGTTTCTGGAGACATCAAAACCGATCATGAACATAAAGGTAAAGTTCTGATCAGTCATATCGCAGCACACGGAACAGCCCTTTGTGAAGTACACGAGCATAGCATATGGAGACGAATTTATGTTGTGTACGCAGCAGGTATGAAAAAAATTTGAAACTATCCCTTTTTCCAAATGAATAATACAATTTGTGGTAATGCTTTTTTGTGCGTAAAGTCGAAAATTATTATAAATTTTTCGTGGTTTTTGGATTGAAAAATTCATTCATTTTAATAATTGCTTTTCCTCCCTTATAGGAGAACATGTCATAGTAGAACTGCTACCCAAAAATTTACACGAAACCGATGGTATTTATTTCATTAATTGATGTATTAAAAAGGTTGAAATTTTGCTGCAAAAAATGCAGTAATTCAGGCCGGAAATATCTGATGGAACACCGATGCATTGCTCATGAACGACTGGCATTTTTGAGAGAATACACAAAAAACCGGAATGAAGACTTTTCATTCAATCTAGTATTTTGGACGAGAGGTAGATACTTAGTAAAGCAGTGTCTGGAAACAGTTCGGAAAAAATATGGTGAAGGAGAGCTATTATCTTGATTCAGGTTTAAAGGCCGTCGTCGGTTGGAATTACTTCCTAAACTTTCGCTAGCACGAGTGGCGAGCTTCTTCAGAGGTCCTTCCATCTCCAATGGAAGGACCTCTGAACACCCACACAATTTCAACAGAAAGGAGGAGACCCTTAGACTCAACCAAATCTGGAACCCGATCCTTAGGAACGCCCGAGCAGTACCGATCGATATCCCGAGACCAACCGAAGCGGAAAAAGCCCCGCCCACCACCAATCGGTATAAATACAACCTGCGCAGGAGAAATCATCAGTCTACGTCCAACATCGGAGATGGAAGGACCTCTGAAGAAGCTCGCCACTCGTGCTAGCGAAACGTTAGGAAGTAATTCCAACCGATGACGGCCTTTATACCCGAATCAAGATAATAGCTCATCAACGGGCCGCGAAAGCCTTAACCAATTTATGGTGAAGGAGTTCGGGATATAATTTTTTCTACTCCCGTCTGTAAAATACCTAATTGCACACCGATCTAGCGTGCGGGAAGCATCACTTTACCACATCAGTTTCGTTTCCCACGGATCCGAGCCACTTGGACATTTCCAGTATTTTACCGCAAGGGTTTAGGAGCAATCGGATGTTTTCGGAGATATTTCCCACGCTTGGAATTTGGACGTTTGTCAATTCTGACTGTCATGTCAGTGAATGTATTCGTGTTGTTTTGCGAAAATGTACCCAAAAACTAAAGGTCGTAGAAAAAGTGTAGTATGCAACATGTACGGCAAACTTTTTAAGTCACTCGTTTATTAAACACTCGCTCTGCTGCACTCCGCTCGCGTCAAATAAACTCAAATGCAATTTACCGCACTTGTTGCATAATATACTGTTTTCTACTTCCTTCTATAAAATATCTAATTATACTCCGATCTAACGTGTGGGAAGCGTTGCTTGTCCTACGGATCTGAACCCCTTTGGACAGGTTCAGGATATTACCACATGGGTTGAATTTTGACATTTGTCAATCCTGACGATCATATCAATGAATGTATTCGTGTTGTTTCGCAAAAATGTACCCAAAAACTAATGGCCGTAGGATAGTATGCAAAAAGCTTCACGTTACCACCTTACATCCGATTGCTCCCAAAGCCGTGCGGTAATAGCCCGGAAATGACCTAAGTGGCTCGGATCTGTGGGACAAGGAGTTCAAGTGGCAAAGTGGCGCTTTCCTCACTCGTTTATGAAATGTCAAATAAACTCGTGAGTCAAATGCCGCTTAGCCCATTTGTTGCATAATATACTATTACAGACGGTAGTAGAAAAATAATATATTTATTTATGATAGTTATACGTTATTAAAGACACTTTGATTAAAGTTAAATATGCGTTATTCAATTGAATAAAAAGTAACCATAATTAAGTGGTATTATGCAGAAAACAGTCTTAGCACAGTGTCTGAAATGTGACAAGAAAATGAAACAAGATAAATTAATTGTATATTTTAGAGGACAATCGTTTCGACAACACCTTGTCTTTACCAAATGTAATATTTACAAACTACCTGCTACTATATATATCGAAAAATAACCATAAAACCATAATTAATGTTGTTGTGAGAATTTAAGTTCAATGAAGGGGAGGTATTTAAATCTAATCGATTGTTAAGCAATACATTTGAATATCTCATTTTGGTAATCTCCATGGCTTCCAATAAATAAACTTTTTGGGGCTGTATGTAAAATATTAAAATTGTCGTCAAAAATGTGTTTTTCTGTGTTTAAGTGTGTAGCATAATTTGAATCTAGACTAAACTATTGTTTTTAAACGCTCTTTTATGTTCATTAATGCGTTTCTTGAAGGATCTACCTGTTTGTCCAATATAAATTTTAGGGCAAGATCCGCATGTCAACCTGTAGACACCTGATTTTTGAGATTTTGGATATTTTCGTTTTATTGTTTTTAAAAAATGTTCCTATTGTGTTGTTAGTTCTGAAAGCTATTTTTAAACCATATTTTGACAAATGTTTTGAAACTTTTTCACTAGGTTCTCCTATGTATGTAATTGTTTTAAATTGTTCTTGTTCTGTATTCGGTTGAAAAAAGAATTCAATTGTCTGTCTGTTCCAACAAAGCAAGCAAAATATTGGAACGGACAGACAATTAAATTCTTTTTTAAATAACATTAATTCATTACATATTCGTATAATATTCACTATCGAAATTGAACAGGATAACTCTATTAATTTTTTAGACTTAACTATTACGAAAACGCAAAACAAGTTAGATTTTTCCATTTATCGTAAAACTTCATGCACGGACACAATCATACGTAACAGCTCAAGTCACCCTTATGCACACAAAATGGCTGAATTTCACTCTTTTATACACGGACTTCTTAATACGCTACTCCCAACCGAAAATTACAACAAAGAACTTAATATCATTAAACAAATTGTACTGAACAAAGGCTACAATCCGTCCATTATAGACAAAATTATAAATAAAAAACAAAATCCAAAATCTCAAAAATCAGGTGTCTACAATTTGAACTGCGGATCTTGTCCTAAAATTTATATTGGACAAACAGGTATATCCTTCAAAAAACGCATTAACGAACATAAAAGAGCGTTTAAAAACAATAGTCTAGATTCTAATTATGCTACACACTTAAACACAGAAAAACACATTTTTGACGACAATTTTGATATTTTACATACAGCCACAAAAAGTAGAAAATTGAATTTATTGGAAGCCATGGAGATTAACAAAATGAGACATTCAAATGTATTACGTATTACATTTGATAAAGATACGGTGTTGTTGAAACGACTGTCATGTAAAAATATATAATTTCTGGAAAATCTGAACTTTTAGTTCTTATTTATTTTGATAAATGGATTTTCATCAAGTAAAAGCCACCTCAGTTCATTTTAGGAAAACAAGAATTTTTGGACAAGCTGTGGATAAACATTAAACCAGAGTATATGCCCATATTAAAAAAACACAAATAGTTTTCCTATAAATATGAAAAGCTCTTGGAAGGCGATGAGGAAAACAAATAATGATAGGATTTTTTAAAATATGTCTTTTTCAATAATGGATGTACATTGACACTCAAAAGCGAACCAAATATTCAAAGAGACAAGACAATGAGTACCATACTCGAAGCCAATACCCACAAAAAATAAATATTATGTTGGGAATTTGGGGACATTATATTAATGGCCCATTATTTAAGGACAATAACCTCACGGCAGAAAGCTGTTTGAACTAATTACAAAATCAAATTGAACCCGCTCTAGAAGAAGTTGTTGGCAAAGGTTAGGAGATCTGGTACTAGATGGACGATTGTCCCGTCCATAATTCCCGTATGGTCAGGGGGAATATTTGGGAAATACTTTTAACGAGAATATTATTCGCCCAAGGTGCGGAATTGTTGGACCACCCACCTGACCTTTTGCCGAACAAGTTCTTTCTCTAGTTTTATCTATAAAAATGTTATATTTGAAAATCTTAACCAGTTACAAAACGCTATTTCCTTTGAATATGAGAGGATTTCACAATATCAACTAAGCAATGTTGTTTGAACATTTACTTAAAAAATAATGTTTATTTGAAATATTTTTTCTTTTTAGCAATGTTCTGTAGCTTTATTTTTATTATAATTATTAAATGTTAAAAAAAGACTGTTG